GCAGACGCACTGTGCGCAGAGCCTGACACGGGGCTCAATCCCACGACCCCAGAGACCATGACCTGAGCTGAATCAGGAGTCAGCCACTTAACCGACTGAGCCACCCAGGCGCCCTGCCTTCTTCATCTGTTCTTGCTTCAGTTAGCTTCTTAAAGCACAGATCTGACGATGTTACTGTCATGGCTCCTCTTTGCCTACCCATAGAAGGATAAAGTCAATTCATATTACAAAGATGAACTTGCAGATGTCTTTTATAAAGCAACTCTAAGCTTTTGAAATGGTGGTCTTTTTCTTTTTAAAATTACAAGATATATGTGGGAAAATTAATTTTTTTTTAAATTATTTTTCTTTCTCTTTATTTCATTTTTCTTTTTTTTTTTTAAGGAAAATTAATTTTTTCAAGGGATTCTGAATTAGGAAAAGGTAAGTCTTTTAGTTGGGATTTGTGGGATATGTACAGAAAGGCAGTTTTGAAATGTATGCAATTGCTATCACACCTGTTTTTTAAGTAAGCTTTATGCCCACTGTGGGGCTTGAACTCATGACCCTGAGATCAAGAGTCACATGTTCTACAGACTGACCCAGCCAGGCACCCCCCCATCACACTTGTTTTTAAAGTCCAGTTAACATACGTAAGATGTATGTGTGTATATAATTTCTCCATATTTCTGTTCATGGTATGGTAGCATCTGTTGATTGGTTGATCAGCCAGGTGATCTGGATTTGTATGTGTATGGTATACAGATCCTGGGAACACAGTGGTGACCAAGCTAAACAGTCTCTCCTCTTGGAATTAACAGTTCAGTGGGGAAGAAGGTGGCTCCACAGTCGTTTTTCATGAGGAGGAGATACACATATTCTGTTAGGAATTTCTGCATATTTTGTTTTAAATTTGTGAAATAGTATTCTAATACTTGGAGTACTAGTATTCCAATCTTGACTTGTTTTAATCTTTTCTTAGTCAAGTGAATATAAAAGCAAATATTTTAAGATAGTAAAGGAAATTGGGAAAAGAAAGTTTAACTGTTTTTTTCATCCCAGTGTAGCTTATTTTATTTCTTGGGTTCTTTTACTACTTGTACTAAGGACATAATCACATATGTATTTTTTTCCATACATTTTGAGTTCTTTTGCTACCTGTATTTGTAAGAGCTCTAAAAACAACAATAAAAAAGTAATCAAAGTCCATCTCTTAATGATTCAGATTGGTGATGTCATCTTTATAGGATATCATGATTTTTAGAAAATTTTCAATAGAACATTTTTTTTAGTCATAGTATAGGTTTTCCTTAAGTCTGTTGTGAAATAAATTACAGATAAGTTAACCAATACTCTGTAGGAGGAAGCACTTAAGATTTTTGTCCAACCCTGACTTTCCAATTTTCTTTCAATTAGTAAGCATCAGTAACAACATAGGAAAGCTTGTACTATGCTTGTTAGCTCTTTGGTTGGTGTTTGAGATAAGATTTTTATTGTCCACTAGTGTAATTGAAAGTATTTCTTAAACACCATAAAGTAGGAGAGACATAAGATGTAGTTTCACAAGAAGTGTTTTAAAATGTTGTTTATCTGAATAAAGTTAAGTCTTAATTGAGCATGTGCTAAGAGGTCATCTCACAGGTTGAGGTTATAATGAAATGTGTATGTGTTTTTTAGGAGATCATGAATCAGGCAGATAAAAATCAAGAACTCCCATCATACCTTAGTGATGAACCACCAGAAGGTAAGTATGCATCCGACATACTAAGAACGGAAACAAACATCCTACTGAAATAAAATTCTGATTGTTTTTATTAAATTTAAAGTAACAATCTGTTTACCTTGTCAGTGAATATGTTCCAAAAATAATTGAAGATAAACATTTTTAGCTTCTAAGAAGAAAGCACAGATATCGCTGAATGGGGACACCATGCAACTGTTTTATTATATAAGATCTATTCTTTTACTACTTTTTATTAAGACCATTTTACAAGATAGAGTACCCTTTCATTTGTAAAGAATGGGTGTAGGGTGCAGAGGAAGGATGGACTATGTTTTTTTTTTCATGTCATGAATATAAAAATTCAAGAGGCCCTTGAGGTTTGTTATTAAGCTGTTATTTATCATTGGTAGTTCTTCTTCCTGTATTAATACATGGTCTTAGGGTCTGCTTAAATTTAAATTCTCTTTTGGTTTGAAACTTGTGACATCATGAGTCATTTTCTTACCTAAACTTCAAAAATCCTTGAAAACGCTAACTGCATACGTGAATGTCTTGATTATATACAGAAAATGACTATAGGCATTTTCTATTTATGGTTTTGGTGTAGAACATTATTAAACTTAAACCAAATAGTAATTTCCTTCGACAACTGCATGTTTATATAGGACAGTCCTAATAGGTAAGATAGAGAATCAAAGTGAAGAATAAGGGATGAAGTGGCCAGCAGACCAGACTGGAGTTGCAGACAGACTAGTATCTCTGGGAAGAGGGGAGAGCTGGAAGTTGTGACTCTGGGTTTTTATTTTCTTCCCAGTTACCCACTGTCCAGAATTTTCTTCCTGTATTTCTTATGTTGATAGACAAAAATGAAATTGCTAGGAAAACACAATGGAAAGTTTGTACTTAAGCCTAAAAAAAGATGGAGGTAGGTAGGTGATAAGTTTTAGTTTGGTAGAAGAATAGCCTGGAAAATTATTAGTTCAGCTGTTTTCTTGACTTACTTTTTTAGGTCTAGAACCCTAGAGTTTTGAAAAGAAAAGTTAGGGCTTAATGAGAAAGTTAATAAGGACTTTGTAGGGATAAAGTCAGGAAAGAGATAAAGATGGCTCAGGAGCATGCTTGTCAAGGAAGAGAAAGTGCTTTAGTAATAATATCTTTTATGGCAACCTGCTAAACCAAAGTAGTCTGCAGAGCAGATAATTTATATGGTGGTAATTCAGAGCACACTGTAATTAAAGAGATCAACAGCATTAATATTTATCTGCTTTGACTAAGAAAAATTGTCTTCATCAAATGCATGTGCACCAAATTTGGCATAGCAGGATAATACTAATGAGGGTATTCAGCATGAGGCAGTTATCTGTTTTATCCTCAAATCAGGATTTTTTTCCTTTTCCTAGTGTAAGTGACCTTGATTACAAAAGAATTACCGTTATGTAACCCTTTCCATCATAATTTTATAATTAACATATTCAAATGCTTTTCCACATCTTGTCTTTTATTTCAACTCTTTAATTATATTAAAAAATAATTTTATTTATTTCAGAGAGAGAGTGCATGTGCTTGCACAAGCATGCAGGGGTGGGGGGGGGCACAGAGGGAGAAGCAGACTCCCTGCTGAGCAGAGAGCCTGATGTGGGGCTCAATCCCAGGATGCTGGGATCGTAACTTGAGCCAAAGGCAGATGCTTAACCAACTGAGCCACGCAGGCGCCCCTAGTTCAAAATTTGTATTAACTATGCTTATTACTCAAATAGCTTCAGTTAAGAATTTGGTTTTTATAAATTTAGCCATTGCTATATCTTTGTGAACTATTTTGACGAGTCAGTGATATTTTCATACTTGTGATATGATGTAAAACCTCTAAGCAATGGAAGGAAAATCTTTATCAAGGTAAATTTGTGCTGTATTAGAAAAGCTCGTTTTTCAGAATTTTTTCTCCATCAAGCATTATCAGTTTCCCGTTGTTGTCTTCTCTTATACATTCTGCTACGAGTTAGTAGCTTTGGTAGTCCTAGTTGGGCCTGTGTACCCAAGAATTTACTTTTCTTTGTGTGAGTTGTACCTTTTCAGTGATTAAAGCCTGAACTATTTAGTGACCAAGTAGTTTCCCACAAAGTTTAGAAAAATATAAACACCATTGCTTACGTGTTGTTGCTGCCTAAATCATTAGATTACAGAGGAGAAAAGACCTGGGTTTGTTTGAGGTTGATACAAGCAAATTTTTATGAAATCTTCCTGTTAATTATTTTATGGCTGAGTTTGAGGTTACATAGCAACTTGAATGACTCTATTCAAAATGAAACAAACCAGAGAACAAACTCATGACTTTATAAATAAATCTGAATTTTTCATACTGATACTACATTTTCTGGAGTAAAAGAGTGTTTACAGACTAGATGTTTAAATCACATACTCTCACTCTCCTGTAAGAATTACTGACGCAGTGAAAGTATTAAGCATAGCTGTAGTTTCTCAACACTACAAAAAATGATTTTAGGTAAGTAACAGGATTTTAAGATGAATAATTATCCTATTTTTACATAGCATTAGCTCTTTAAATACATTATTAAAATGCAAATAGAACAGATACCCACATATATTTAAATTAGTGGTTCTCAAACTTTCTGGCTTTTCCACTTTTAAAAATTGAGGACCCCAAAAAGCTTGTGTCTTTGTTGATATTTGCCATATAAATAATAAAAACTGGGAAATTAAATATTTTATTCATTAAAAACCCCAATAGACCCATTACATATTAACATGATTAACATAGTTTTTTTTTATTTTTAATTTTTTATTTTAAAGATTTTATTTTTCAACAGAGAGAGAGGCAGCGAGAGAGGGAACACAAGCAGGGGGAGTGGGAGAGGGAGAAGCTGGCTCCCTGTGGAGCAGGGAGCCCAATATGGGACTCAGTCCCAGGACTCTGAGATCATGACCTGAGCTGAGGGTAGACCCCCAACAACTGAGCCACCCAGGCACCCTAACATAATTTTTAAAAGCAAAAAAAAAAAAAAAAAATGTGAACAGGGTGGGTGACATTGTTTTTAAATTTTTGCAAATCTCTTTAATGTTAGGGTTAATAGAAGACAGCTAGTTTCTCACAGCTGCTTCTGTGTTTAGTCTCTTGTGTTACTGCACATCATTTAGATTCTGGAAAATTCTGTAGACTTGTGAATGAATGTGAAAGAATAAAAGTGAAAGGATAAATGACATGTTATTACTATGAAAATAATTTTTATCCTGCAGAGCCCCTGAAATGGTCTTGTGGATACCCAGGGGTCCCAGGCCATACCTTGAGAACCAGTGCTTTAAATGAAGAAGGTTGTTTGAGTGATGATTGAATTCTGTCAAGGAAATGAAGGCTAAATATATTTATCTTCTTAGTTTTTCATGCTCCTTTTAGGACATAAAGATTATTAACAGCAGCAAAACTGTAAATCAAGAAAACATTTAAATTTAGATTCTATTTTATGAAAGTTGTCTAGTCCCCAAAGCATTTTTTCTCATGGATACTAAGACTTAGCATTGGACCAACGTGTTTTAAAAACATGTACAACCATAGCTTTGAGGGAAGAGGTTTTTAGTGTCTTGATCGGATTTGTATTTATGTGGTTCACCTTATCAAAACAACCTCCTGATTGTTAGGAAGTCTTAGGGTCACTCATTAATGATTTGTACTGCTCTTATAAAGACTTATGTTTGACGGTCTTCATTTTTTCTCTCATTAGGTTCAATGAAAGATCACCCACAGCAGCAACCAGGCATGTTGTCCCGTGTGACTGGCGGTATCTTCAGTGTTACAAAGGGAGCTGTTGGTGCTACCATTGGTGGTGTGGCTTGGATTGGTGGGAAGAGTCTGGAGGTGACCAAAACAGCTGTTACAACTGTGCCTTCCATGGGAATAGGGCTGGTGAAAGGGGGCGTGTCTGCTGTGGCTGGAGGTGTTACAGCTGTTGGGTCTGCTGTTGTAAACAAAGTGCCCTTAACAGGAAAGAAGAAAGACAAATCTGACTAAAATATGGAGATACACTCGCTCTCCACAGCATTATGATGCCAGTGGCATTGAATTGCTAAATTATGGACTACAACCAAGTCACCTGTTTGGACGTTTATCTTCTAAACTGCTGTGTTGAAAGTATTGATGACTGGCTTTTGTCTAAAAAGAAGAGACCAATACTAGCACAGTGTATGAAGGTTTCTCATACTTAAATTCCAGCTTTTTATCTGGTAAAATGTTACACTTATTCAGTTGTAACTGAAGATATGGTATATTTGATATTTACTAGAAGTCTTTCAGTTTAACTAAAAAATGTGAAAGTTGAATTTAGTTGATCCTTACAGTTCCATATGTATAATGTGCCAGGTAACTCATTTGCCCCTTAAGAAGGGAACCTTGAATTACATAAACTGTACCTTTGATGTGCCTAATAGTTTCAGATGTCTTAGTTTTTTTTATAACCATAGTTGAGTAGGCCAAGAGGCATTCTTTTCTTAAGCTGGTAAAAGTAGCAGGAATTTAGAGCAATTTAAAAGAAGAGATAAATGGTTTTATGATACTGAGTGTTAACCATCTTTTGTTAGATAAGCATTACATTAATCATTGATGCCTTATAAAACATCTTTTCTAATACCCTAAACATGTGCAGTTCTTAGAACTATATATGGATTCTTTTAAAAATTGTGAAATTAGTTTTCCCTCATAAGAATCTCAGGAGTATTGGGGTAAAGGCATTTCTTGCTCTCAGCAGATAAGGTAGTGCTTGTAGGCATTTTGTTAACTGTCAGTGTAGTTACCGGCCAAGGTTATGCTTCAGCCTGGTTTCATGCTCCATCTTTAGTACACCTCACAGTGCCTAAGGAATATTTCTTTGCTGGTCATAAGCTATCTTGGAAGTTTCATATTAAGGAGGAACAAATAATTTTAAATTCTTAAGAATCACCTAAAGCATCCAAGATATAAAAAATCTTCACACCAATTTTATCTTTAGGATGGCTTAAAATGTTAGCAGTACCCCTTTTGAAAATCACAGTAAAAGCAGCCACAAATATTTGGGAACTGACTTTTAAATCGAAATGAAATAGGCTCTACAGATTAGTTTTGAATGTAAAGTAATAAGTGCTGTCAGTGGTTTGTAGACTTTTAAAATGTTATCTTACAATCCTTTGAAGAAGTCGTAGACTTTGTACCATTTCCAAGTCAACTTCAGGCAGGGAATTGAAGTTTTTTATTGTGGATGGTAAGTGTGTCATGTCTTCTTAACATGTCTCATCATGTCTCGTTCATTCTCAAAGAATATGACTTAACTGGAATTCATTTTTTATTTCATATTCAGTTTCATAAAAATTTTAAAAGTGGCACATATATATTTGGCATTCCTCTTAACTAAGGGTTATAATCCAAGCCTGAAAAATCTTAGTTTTCTTTATACTTAAGTCTGGAAATTTGCCTCCATTTTGCAGAAGTGTGTGTGTGTGTGTGTGTGTGTGTGCGCGCGCATGTGTAGGAAAGGAGGTGATGCTCTAGAGTAAGTCAGAATACATCCTTGAGAACTTAAAACAGATCACTCCAACACCCAAGGCTTAAATGTTTGTTTCTAAACCACTGAGAGTTTTACATTAATAATGTGGAACAACAAATGGATAAGAACACAACTTTTAAAAGCTTTCATAAACACAAGTAGGGATCTTAAGCAAACCTACAAAGGTTCTTGAACCTACCGCTACATAGAAAACTGAAAAGTTGTGGAGTTCATCAGAAATTAAATGGTCGTTTATTTCATGCATTATGATTTAAGGTATATTTGTTGGTATATCCGGTCAAATGTCATAATCAGCAAAAGGGATTTTTAAAAGAAACTCCAAAGTTAATGGATGAACACTAAACAATGATCTAAATAATGGTATTGGAGAACTTGTTTCCTGCTATTTGAAAGAAATTATTGCTTCATTGCTAGTTTATATTTCTAATTTATCTTCTATAGTCATAGGCTCTGCTGTGCTTTGTACCTGAATTTCTAAATACAGACTTTAGTTTACTTTGTGCTTGCATATTTATTTTCAACCTTGCTTGTCTTTAAACTTGCTTGAGGAAAAATGGTTGTAATTTCTGCCACCTGGTAGAAAAGCCACCTGGTACATTTTAGCTCATCAAGTTTGTTTTAAACTCTGAACTGTAACTTTATTCAGGGGAGGCTTTTGCAAGGATGGCAGAGAAGTGTACAAATGAATGGTTAGTTATAGAGGTTCTTGTTGCAATGAACTTGCCATTTGATGATACGTACAGCTGTACACTTGAGTCTTTTCCAGTTTATTTGCGTAGACTTAGCAGCTTGACCTGTGAAACCGTACTGGTTCACTTCAAGAAACTACGGTTGATACATACACTTGGAGGCGTCTGTTATTCAATGTATCTTTTGAGTGGGAATTTGGCACAATGAGGATGAACTTGTGTGACCCACTTGAATGACTGATCTAATAATGTTGACAAGAATCCTGTACTTAGTGAAATGTCAGATGAAGATGACTGGTGATTAATAAAATTTTTTTTGTATTAAAGGAACGGGAAAAGAATACATAAATCTGTTAATAAAACACTATGATCTACAAAAGATGAAATGTTTCATAAAGATCTAAGGAAATAAAGGAAATTTAAAGGAAAAACAGGGCAGTCTTAGAATTTTTATAGTTCAGAAAACACTGTAGTCAGTTTTTAATTTTTGATACTAATGCACAAACATGACAAAACATCTTTGAATATGTATTTTGATACCAAGACAATGAAATGCAAATATATTTTAGTCAACTCTGATGAAGATTAAAAATGCGGATTTTTAGGTTTTACCCCAACTTTCTGAATCTCTGCAGGGTGGGGCCCAGGACTGCAATTTAACAGCCTCCACAGGTGATTCTTGTCTACCATTTGGGATCTGATGGAGAAGTAGAGAGCACTTTACTCTGTCCTAAGTAACTGTGGAACCAACTTGCACCCCTCACTAGACAGAAGTGACTCAAAGAGATGGGAAACAGTTGGAGGAAGGTAGAAAATGGATATATACTGGGTATCTATCTACTTACCTGCCAGGTGCTGTCCATACATTATCTGATTTAGTCAGTGCTGGGGAAGTACCTCTTTTTACAAATACGAAACAGGCTTTCCGTGTTAGCAATTTCCCATTATCACTTTTTTTTTTTTTTTAAGATTTTATTTGAGAGAGAGAGAATGAGAGAGAGAGAGCACATAAGAGGGGTTAGGGTAGGGCGCCTGGGTGGCTCAGTCGTTAAGCGTCTGCCTTCGGCTCAGGTCATGATCCCAGGGTCCTGGGATCGAGCCCCACATCGGGCTCCCTGCTCCGCGGGAAGCCTGCTTCTCCCTCTCCCACTCCCCCTGCTTGTGTTCCCTCTCTTGCTGTGTCTCTGTCAAATAAATAAAATCTTAAAAAAAAAAAAAAGAGGGGTTAGGGTCAGAGGGAGAAGCAGACTCCCCGCCGAGCAGGGACCCCGATGCGAAACTCGATCCTGGGACCGCAGGATCATGACCTGAGCCGAAGGCAGTCGCTTAACCAACTGAGCCACCCAGGCGCCCCCCATTATCACTTTTGAATTCGAGTAAGTCACAACTTCTCCAGTTAATATCCGGAAACAGAAATGGGGCTACTCAGTAACCAGTACTTCATTCTGCTGTTGGCAGTCAGTGCTGACTATACGCTTGATTTCCCAGGCTAACTTGAGTTCCCTGGAAGTCTTATAGGTAATCATTTATTTTGGCAGCTAATTACATTTTGCCACAGGAATGAATTTAGTGTAAACTGTTGAAATAATTTTGTTATTAGAGCCTTTTTTTTCCATGGAGGAAATAAAATCTGACTCTAGTGTTTTCTGTAAGGCTGTCTCTCCTTGCTATATTGTTGATTTTGAAGATTTCAAATTTTATTCTAGGAAGACAGAAATAAGAATGCAATTATGGAAAAAGGCAGAAAGGTTCAAGGGCTAAAAACTAATGGAATAGGATTTGGTCTAAGGGAAAATAAAGTCCGTAGACTATGTTTGGCCATGATGGCCAAATTTTCTAAAAATTTAATCTTGTCAGAGTAAGCTACACGTGTATTTCTATAACCGTGACTGCCTCTGGTTTTCCACGTCTGGACCTGAGCACAATTTTGCTGATGTACTGCCTAGGCTTTTTACAAATTAATGGCCACTCAACCCTGCCAAACTTTCTTATATACCCTCTTGTATGTTCATTTTCTTATTCCTCAAAACAACACTTCTCTTTCCAGCCCTCCTGCAGTACTCCCCTCCCATCCTACTGCCCTTTGTAAGAGGCAACCTGACAGCAACTCTCCTCTCACACCACTTACCCCATCACCCTGCCTGCATCCGTCCCCATGCTCTGTGGACCAGGACTACGATCTCTGCTCTGATCCCAAGTCAGTCCGCTATATCCTGCAGTTTTTCCATCTCATCCCTGTCTCTCTCCTGGGTCATATTCATCAGCATATAAACATGTTCTGGTATTTGCTTTCTTTAAAGAAAAATTATGCTTAATCTTACAACCATCATTTTCCTGCTTCCCTTCGCAGTATTTTTGAGAAACTTTATACAGTCTCTGCATCTTACTCATCTCCTGTTCTAGAGACCCGCTCCAGTTTCCTTCTTACCTTTCTCGTTGCACCAGAATCGCTCGATAGGCCAACCAATGATTTCCTTTTTGCCAAATCCATTGGTCACTTATCTATATCTTAATTGACCATCCCATGGCATTCAATATTATTGGCCATGCCCTCTTTTCCCGGCAGACCTCTTTTGGTCAACTCCTTCCAGGTGTGGCCAGCCACTACTACAAATCTATAATTATTTCTGGGCAATCTCATTTAGAGTCGTAGCTTTTTTTAAAGATTTTATTTGACAGAGAGATAACGAGAGAGGGAACACAAGGAGGCTTCCCGCCAAGCAGGGAGCCTGATGCGGGACTCGATCCCAGGACCCTGGGATCATGACCTGAGCCAAAGGCAGACGCTTGACGACTGAGCCACCCAGGCGCCCCTAGAGTCGTCATCATTGAAACACAGATGATCCCTGAATATCTATCTCCCGTTCTGACTTCTCACAGTTCCAGACTTTGCCATCTGCCTGTTTGACATCTCTGCTCAGATATTTAGTAGGCATCTCAAAATAAAATGAACTAGAACTAAGGTAACCATATAAATGTATAATCTGTTCCAAACTAGGCCACTCCTGAGAGTGGAAGATAAGCACACCACTGATAATTATGTCAGGACAACAAGCGAACTTTTCATAGCACATTTCATCTGGGATATAGACCCAAGTCGTCTTCCTCACCACCAGCTCTAGAACACCACTTTCTTTCCAAAGGTTCCGAAGGTTTCCCATCACACTTAGAACAAGATCCTGTTCCTTAGATGGACAGGTGACACTCATCCTGTCCCACTCTCCCTGACACTCAGTCCTGCCCCAGCTGTTGCTGCCTGCCATTCTTTTGCTCAAACAAACATTCCTGTTTAACTTTGGGTGACACCCTTTCTGTGCCTCCATCTCACTTGTGTAGCAGTAAATGGCGGTACCCAACTCTAAGGGTTCTAAGTACAGCATGCCTGGCAGTCAGTAGGTGCTACGTGGGAGTATCGTTCACTACCCTAAGGAACCAAACATTTGGATAGTGAGGGTTACTTGCATTTGCTTACTGAATAAAGACATGGCCTGCATTTCTAATAGGTTTTTCATTACTTAAGAAAAGGCCATGCACACGTAGGATACAGATGTTTGTCAGAGTCAACTGTCTGGTTGTGTATTTGTTACAAAATTCAAACTCCACAGCTGAAAGTGAGCCAGTCTTTATCTGTATAATGTTTATCTTGGACCAAGATTTAGAAGTAGAAACTTGGAATGCTACTAAAATCAGTACCAACCATCACACACTTTCCCGTTCAGAGCCAGACCTGGATTTTTAGAGTTTTCTAAAAAGCTGCTTACTTCAAATGTATATAAATTAGATCACTTCAGGAGCACCTGGGTGGCTCAGTCGTTAAGCGTCTGTCTTCGGCTCAAGTCATGATACCAGGGTCCTGGGATCGAGCCCTGCACTGGGCTCCCTGCTTGGCAGGAAGCCTGCTTTTCCCTCTGCCTCTGCTTGTGTTCCTGCTCTCGCTATCTCTGTCAAATAAATAAAATCTTAAAAAAAAAAATTAGGTCACTTCATATTTAAGGAATTTTACATAAAAATCCCTAAGTTTGTTGTTGGTACTCCTTTGGCATGTCAGGTAAGGATATGGCTTTTCTTTTTAAAAGATATTTATTTGAGAGAGAGAGAGCATGCAAGAGGGGGACAGGGCAGAGGGAGAGACTATCCAAGCAGACTTCCTGCTGAGCATGGAGCCATGAGATCAGGACCTAAGCTGAATCCAAGAGTTGACACTCAACCTATTGAGCCGCCCAGGCACCCCACGGTGTGGCTTTAAAGCAATCCTTTTTCTATTCACAGGTTTGAACAAAGTCAGATCATAGTAAATCTGGGCTCTGTCACTTGGCAGGACTCTCTAAGCTTGTTTCCTCATCTATAAAATGGGGAAAGTAATGAATGCACATAAAGAGTTCTATGAGATGAGATGGTCAGTTTTAAACTAACCACACAAGTAAGCTCTATTCTTTTTGAATGAGAAATACTTGGTTCTCAAAGGCACTCATTTATCCCAACCAAGAGATGAAATCAGCTTTTTCTAAAAAAAAAAAAATGTATTGGAAGTTTTCTAATTTCACTTAACACTAAGCTACAGGATTCAGACCACAGTAGAATGGTGTTTCAGAGCTGGTGGTGAGGAAGATGACTTGGGTCTATATCCCAGATGAAATGTGCTATGTAAATAAAAACATATCCATACTTTGAATTAAGGGAATGCACTTGTCAATTTCTTAGAAATGATTCACTTGTAAGGGGCACCTGGGTGGCTCAGTTGGTTGAGCGACTGCCTTCGGCTCAGGTCATGATCCTGGAGTCCCGGGATCGAGTCCCGCATCGGGCTCCCTGCTCGGCAGGGAGTCTGCTTCTCCCTCTGACCCTCCTCCCTCTCGTGCTCTCTGTCTCTCATTCTCTCTCTCGCAAATAAATAAATAAAATCTTTAAAAAAAAATTTAAAAAAAAATTAAAAAAAAAAAAGAAATGATTCACTTATAAAGTTATCACTCTGATGTGCCATTTACTAGTAGAGAAGTTTTTGACACAGCAGTTCAAGGTAAAAATTACCAACTTTATTTAAAATAAATGCAGTTTATAGTTTAAAATATAGCAAATGAGTCCGAGATTATCTACTCAGAGGTAACTTGGAGCTCATAAGCTACGCAGCTTCTTAAAAGTACTAGAGCCTATAAACTGCCTGACTCACTTAAGTCTTTGCCCCTCAGCTTCACCCTGCAATGCTAGAATGCAGCAGCAGTCCTCAGGTTACTCTTCCACATTCAATGGTGCCACCGGGTTAAATAATGGCCTTCCTTTTTTGGCCTGAGTTTTGCCAAAGTTAGCCTCAAACTCTTCTTTTGTTCCATTTAGATTTACTAGATGTCCATCCTTCATTCTATAGCCTAGGGAATTCAGTTTCCTCATCCTGTACTGTACTATCTGTGGAGTTAATTCAAGCACCATTGGTGTCTCTTTTATCTGAGCTATGGAAATTCCTTCTTTCAGTAATCCCTGAATTCTCTCTTCCAAAACTGGAACAGAATAATATAAAATGGCAGGACATTTCAAAACTAATTGCTTCAGGTCACGATCTGTGCATTTAAAAGCATTTTTAGAGAAGGTAATGCTGTTCTGTATACTTTCTGGGCAAAGTTGAAAAAGAAATCCTTTCAGTTTGGATAGAAGCTGGAGAATTTCAGAGTTTGTGAAACCTTGCTCCTGGAGAAATTCTAGTGTTTCCTTTATAGCTGCAGAAGAATTTAGCAAAATAAATGGATTTTGGCTTAATAATTTCAGTAACCAAACTTTCACGTTGGCCTCGGAGCCACCTAAATTTAGATAACTCTCTTGGAGAATACCTATCATTTGCTTATTTTTCTCAATAGGATTATGAAAAATACTAGATGCAGTTGTCAAAAATCTGCTAATGACCACATTTCTGAGTCCCAACTCTTGAAAGAACTGAATGTTCAGCTTCTGGGTTTCCTGGTCCTTAACAGTAAAGAAAGATTCTGGAAACTGTTCTATTAATTTGACTAACTCTTGCTCGTTTTTGCAGACCAACTGCCAGAGTTCTCTCTGGGTGTTAAAAGTGGTTGGACTGCAGACAATTGCTTCTGGGCAGTGTTCCAAAATACTGGCTATAGCAGCTTCATTGGCACCTAGCAGTTGTAAAACATTTGCAATTTCCTCAACATAGGTTTCATCTTCAAAAAGTACCCATCCTTTTAATCTGCGTATTTTCCTGATATCCACTGAAAATTTATAGAGCTTTTCCACTGTTCTTTTATTTTCTTTGTTTGACTGACGATCAGTTGCATAGGTGAAGCATGCTAAAGAGGGTCTGTATTTTGAAGCTGAGAGCATCTTTCTGAAAGAACAAAGCCTGCAGGGCTGGGAGCTTATCAGCAATTTCCACAGCATGCCGGCAGTCCATTGGCTAATTCCCACTGTCCTGGGGACTCAGAATGTACTCAGCCTACCTGTAACAAAGAAAACACAGGTTTTAACATAAGGGGCATTGACTTTTAGAATGCAAAAATAAATCTGGGCTCTAAGCAGTAGACAGAAATAACATGGATTTAAATTAGACAGGAAAACTGAATTTTGCCAAAGTTAGCCTCAAACTTTTTGTGGAATATTATATATATACTCTTAAATAATTTATAAAGAAACTAACATACCTCTTCACAACTTAGACATCTTATACATTATAAACACATTGTCTATGTGAGCTTTGCCACAACCTTGTGAGGTAATTTCCATTTTACAGATCAGTAGCAAGCCCATGAAGAGTTCAAAGATCTCAAATGTTATTCTGACACAAATTCCCTTTCCTACAACTCTGTTATGTTTTTCTTTAGGAGACATATTTTACTTCTACACACACACACACACACACACGGTTTTTAAATTTTTTTTAACATTTTACAAATTTATGTTTAGCTGAAGCAAACACTTATTGGGGAAGGGGAGTCATCTCTAATTTTATATTTTAGAGTAAATATTTCTGCTGAATAATTATCCAAAGTCAATTTGTTTAAAATGAGTTAATAAGTATAAACTTGTTTTATGAGAATTATATGAAAATCTTTTTTATAAATCCAAAATTAAAGTCTTAGCCAGATAACGTAGGGAATGCTATGTGACTGCCCCAGTGGAGCAATGGGCAATCAAATTAAGTGGAATGGGGACCATACTTTTACAAGTCTAACCAGCTGTCCGCACTTGACAGCTTCAGGTCCCTAGAGATGGCTATACTGTGCCTAATGCATTATGGACTTCGGCACTATTTTCTTGTTATCTCTGGTAATGTAAACATGCCTAGTTTGTTGTTGTTATTGTTGTTTTATTTTAACATGTTATTTATTTAAGAGAGAGAGAATGAGAGAGACAGAGAGCATGAGAGCGGGGGAGGGCCAGAGGAAGAGGCAGACTGCCCTGCTGAGCAGGGAGCCAGATGCGGGACTCGATCCTGGGACTCGATCCTGGGACTCCAGGATCATGACCTGAGCCGAAGGCAGTTGCTTAACCAACTGAGCCACCCAGGCGTCCCGCCTAGTTTGTTGTTTTAACTTTTTTTTTTTTAAGACCATATTTGAGAGAGAGCATGCACAAACGGGGGAGGGGGATAGAAGCAGAGGAAGAGGGAGAAGCAGACTCCCCAGTGAGCAGGGAGCTGACAAGGGGTCGATCCCAGGACCCTGAGATCATGACCTGAGCCAAAGGCAGACGCTTAACCACTGAGCCACCCAGGCACCCCGTTTTAACTTTTAGTAGCTGAGAGTGTTAAGTGTCGCATCTCTGCCACAAAAGCATTAACTGTTTAGCTAGTCAATAGCCTTCCCTTATTACTTGTAGGTTTGAAGGAAAGTTGAAAAAAGCCATAATCCAATCTCTGCCCTTAATAATGCCATCACCATATATGTCAAGGACTTTTCACTTTCAAGCCTGTCCTAATGCAAATAAATTGCTATTCTCTAAGGAAAAATAACAAGTAACAATGTTCTCAGTTTGGTTTACCATTTGTAATAATAGCTCATTGTTAGTGCCCATGGTGTCCCAAATAATTGTAGGCACAGTTTGTTTTACTACTGGTGGTTCAACCAGAGTTTTGTTCATATAATTCCTAATACCAGTTTCCTTTAGAGGATTCCTAATGAAGCTATTTCAAAATTTCTAGGAGGACCATGGATTTTAACAGGAAGGAGGAGATACTACATAATGAGGATGGGTACATGCAGATCTAATCTGGAGCCCCATACTCCACAGTCTTGGGCCTCACATCTATACCACATGCTGGAAGAAGCGTGGGCTCTGTCGCCAAAATGTCCATGCTCAGTCCTGGTTCTAATTTATGGGGTCATCTTGGGAAAGTTACTTAGCCTCAGATTAAGTCAGTAAACAAGTAGTGATTAGAACAGTACCTCACTGTAAATGTTCAGTAAGTATGACTACTAATAGTACCATCTGTAAAAGGGAAAGAAAGTACATAAACTTTACAGGGATACTGTGAGTCCAATACTTTGCACAGGTACATAGTAAGCACTCAATAAACAGTAGCCATTACTAGGAAAACCTGGAGCTAAAATTCTTGTACTAATACAACTTTAGATTGTATTTTACACAGAAGTACATTATTTACAAAGAATAAGTGAAAATTGTGAAAACTATTTTAAATGCTTTGGTTGATCCAAATAACTGTTTATAAAAGCAATACTCTCACTAAAGGAAATTTGCCAAATTCTGAAAAGAATAAGGAAGTGGGGGGCGCTTGGGTGGCTCAGTTGGTTAAGAATAAGGAAGTGGAAGAGTCCTTCACAACTGTTCATATCTGATATACATGTCTGTTTTTTTCTGATTCTTGTCCCTTTTGTTGTAATTTTTATTTTTATTTTTTAAAGATTTTTATTTATTTTTTTGACAGAGACACAGCGAGAGAGGGAACACAGGCAGGGGGAGTGGGAGAGGGAGAAGCAGGCTCCCCGCTGAGCGGGGAGCCTGATGCAGGGCTTGATCCCAGGACCCTGGGATCAGGACCTGAGCCGAAGGCAGACGCTTAACGATGAGCCACCCAGGCGCCCCTTGTTTTAATTTTTAAATACATAAAGCAAGGCTACCTTGTATATGAGAAATAGGGTCTTAAGCTCAGCCTACAGTTTGAAATTGTGAAGACGCAGAATTTTTCTTGAAAATGTCTTGAGCAGGCACCACACTAAATACTGACATAATGTCTTCCCAGCTGTCCCCACTTGACAGCTTCAGGTCCCTAGAGATGGCTATACTGTGCCTAATGCATTATGGACTTCGGCTAGCAGAGCAAGGGGCTCCTCGGCACTGAAGGAGATCCCGGTGTTTGGCTAAACACCAGATGAAGTTATTTGGCTTAGTGTGGGGGTTACACTACACAAAATGACAGGTTAAATGTTAGCACCACATGGACCACGGCAAGATGCTTCTGCCCAATGAGTCTGAGGGTAAAGCAGGCCGTCTCACATTTCCTGCTTACTCCAGGATGAACCATCATGTGCCCGGTGAGTTGTCCCACAATTAACGCTATCTTGCTCTTTCTTATTCTCTCTCTGATGAGCAAACACAGTGGACTGCAAAAGCGAAGAGCACAAATGTTGTGACTCCTCTATAATCAACACAAATTATATATACATTGATTTATTTTATGCACTCTAAGTATCTAAACTTGGCATCAAGAACACTATAAACATTTAAAATGAGTACATGACATATGACAGATACACTGTAATTCTGTAATTCATTCCCTAAGAATGAGTATTTGGGCTATTTGTAGTATTTGTAATATGCTGATTATCTGTCCACATTTCATCATTTTTAGGATGAATCCCAGAAGAATTACTGAAAAAGAGATGTGAGAACATTTTAAGAGCTAGGTTGTTAATTTACTATCCAGAAAAAAGATCTCAGTTGACCTTGTCACAAGCAGTATGACTGGTTCATCAGTTTTAATTCTGATATGTGAAAAATGAACACAATACTAATTTAACTCCATTTTCTTCTTTTAATGAGGCTGAGCTTAATGAATTATTCTGGCCATCTTTATTTCCTTTTGTGAGTTAACTATTCCTGCTTTTTTAAACAGGAATCTTCCTGTTTTTTAAAAACTGACTTATATAAATTCTTCATATATTAAAAAAAAAATCCTCGTTTTTGGATTTTCTCCAATTCTCTTTCAGTTGTAAATGGTATATTCCAGCATTACCAAAGTGGTTACATTTTTTTATTGTGGTAAGATATAAATTTTGCCATTTTTAGGTATATAATTCAGTGGCATTAAGTAAATTCACACAGTTGTACAACCTCTACCACTATTTCCAGAACTTTTTCATCACCCCAAACACAAACTCTGTTCCCATTAAACAATAACTCCCCATTCTTTCCTCCTCTCAGCCCCTGGTAACTTCTACTTTCTGTCTCTAGGAATTTGCCTATTCTTGGTACTTCATATAAGTGGTCATACAATATTTGTCCTGTTGCATTTGGCTTGTTTCACTCGGCATAACATCTTCAAAGTTCATACATAGTATAGCACATGTCAGAACAAAGTGGTTAATTTTAAGTGGGCAAGGGTCAAGGAAGTTTCCCTCTTCTTGATGATTCCTACTGCTTTTACGTACCACATGGTCAGACAAAAATTCATCCATATGTCCTTCTGTATTTTTGTTTGATTTTAAGAAGTTAGCTCCTTTAATTCACTTGAAATTTCTGTTGTGAGCTGAAAGTCTAAATAGATTATCAATAGTTTAGCTATCTCAAAGCACTGTTTTTGAGCAATCCTTTTCTTCCCTATGATTTGTGAGGTCTCCTTCACTATACATTAAATGTAGCTTTTGATTCTACCTAGCCTCTGTCCTCACTCTCCTGATATTTTGCAATTCCCTGAATGAGCCAGGAGGCTAATTTCTTTGCTGCAAACTCGGCTCCCTCTGCCAGACCATTCTAAAACAATCTCTGGGTCAATGCACTCTTGCATACCCCCCACAACAATGTCAAATCTCCTCAGCTTGGACCTCCAGCTTCTCCTGACCCCTACTCCACTCTCATCCAATGCTCTCGCCTCTACTCTGTACAAAGAAAGGAGAGCAACTCATCACACCAAACATACCTTCTGCTATCTCCCCTTTCCTACAATTATACCTTTCAGCATCCAGGGTAATCCCTGCTTCTGTACTGATCCCAACCTCTCTGGCCTGAACACCTCCAGAGCCCTTTTTTCTCATATACTCACTCCTTCAGCTGTATCCTTCCCTCTGGGGCTCCCACCCTTCAGCTGAATGGATCTTCTCACTGCCACTCCAGCTAAAACCCTATTTTCTCTTACCCTCAGTTAATTCTTGCAGATCCTTCTTTCTCTCCAATTCCTCTCCTACTTATATAGATCCCAATAAAGACAATTCCCATGTGATTAGAGCCAATGAGGTCTGTTCGTTCCTGTCTCTTCTGACCTCTACAGCTTTCAGCATAGTCGACCACTTTCTCCATGAAATACTCTCTCACCTGATTTCCAGGACTTCCCACTCTCAGTTCTCTTCCCCCTCTTGCTACACTCTCACTTCCCTTTATCTATCTCCTTTGCAGGCTCATCTTCAAGGCTTGATTCTAGACCCTCTCCTCTCCTTACCTTACAGTTTCTCCTCAGAGATCCTGTCCTCATCCAGGGCTTCAGTTAATCACTTGGGCTTCTCTCCAACTTCTTCTCAAAATGTGATCTTGTCACCTCCCTGCAATAAACTTTTCAATGGCACTTTAGGATAAAGACATAAAACAAAATACAAATGCCTTACACCATGGTCTAAAAGGCCTCTCTGTCTGGGCTCTGTCACTACCCGAATCTGTGCCCATCTGCCCCACCCCCAACCCCACCAGCCACACCAGTTCTTTTCAGTCCCTGGTGTTCTGCCTGTGCCCACCACAGGATCTTTGAAGGCTAAGGGCTGTTCCCCATGCCCAAAGTGGCCCTAACTCCTAGGTCTGAGGGTCACTCTCTCAGGGAAACTTCCCTGACCATCTTGAATAGACTAAGTCTCCTGTCCCCATTACAGGCTCTCATGGCACCAGGACTGCTCCTCTGTGCCACCTGTCATAGCCGCAGCTGTTCATGTGTTGTTTCTGTCTCACCCTCCAGGAGGGCAGAGACTCATCACCACCATGTTCCAATGAATTGCTTCCCTACCCTTCACTTCACTGGCATTGCTGACTCTAGGAGGCATTCCTGGACAAGGATGATCTTTGTGTGTGCTCTTCCACTGCATCTTGCTCTTAACCTTACTGTAGCACTTAACCTCCTGTAAAGTTCTTCATCCATTCAACTAGTGGTTTTTCTTTTTTCTTTTTAAGCTCATGCTGTGTTGTCAGGCATTAGGTTAGATACTAGCTGTTCCGCCACAATGTTTCTTCCTAACTTTGGATCACAGACCCACTGGAGAACCTGGCAAGAGCCACAGAGTCTCTTTCCAAAAAGAAAAAAAGAAAAGACCTGTACTCATAACATTTGCAAAAGATTTTACCAGGATTCATAGGCACCCTGCAGCCCAGCTGTAAACAACCTGTACTAGATTGCAAGCACTGGGAGGGCAGGGTCTGAGTTCTGTTCTTCTCTGTCCCTTGTACCCAGCAAAGAACTTGGTCCACAGAGGAACAAAATAAGTATTTGTCAACTGAAACTGAATGAACAAATCCAGTTCATGAGGCAGCCTAAGGTAGTGTGTAAAACTGTGGTCTGTATGGACTTAATTCCTGGTCATTGGTTGTGTTGTGACGTGGGAAAGTCACATCATCTCTCTGTGCCTCAGCTGGAGTGTCAGGAAAATAGGGATACTACATTCTGGGTGACTGTGAAGACTACATTGAGTTAATACCATAACCACTTACAGAGTAGTCAGAAAAGTTATTAAATCACCACAAAAACCCATTTTAAAGATGAGGAAACAGATGCAGGTAAAATAACCTGCCCAAGGTTGCTCAGCTAACAGGGCAGACCTTGGATTCAAACCCAACAACTTGGCTCCAGAGTACAGCTCTTACCCTGTGCCCTACACAGCAATGCTCTGGGCAAATGTTTGTTAAATCACAATGTGGTCTATTCCCAGATACTTCATGCTTCTTAAGCATTCCTGAGGAGATAAGTTCACTTCTGGAATATGCACAGTTTTCGTACTTAATACAGTCTGCTCTACAACATCAGTAATAATTCAATTAAGTTCTACTTTTATAACATGTATGATCTGCTGACAGTTTCAAATTAACCCTAATGTTTATAAATAAGTAAAAAATGAGGACCGAAGGAAGATCTCGGGGAATGATTGACAGCCACACATCCATCTTGTGGGGCCGGCGCTTGTCCAGAGGAACTTCTGACCTCCGGCGCCTGGGCATCTGCCCAGGCCAGGGAGGCTGAGCGGCTGGCGGGGAGTCCCGTTTCTCGGTGCGCGACCCCAGACCCCTGCCTGTCGGCCGCTCTGTTGCTGGTGAGGCTCCCCCCCCGGGGGCGAAGAAAGGGGTGCGACTCACCTGTCCACTCCGCGCAAGACGCACTGAGTCCCGGGTCCCTGGCCCCGTCCTTCCTCCCTCCCCCCCGCCGAGGTTCCCCGTGGCCTGCCGTCTTCCCGAGGCCTGGGAAGAGGGGTCAATGTCCCAAGACGAGGGTGCCAACAGGGCCGCTAATTTCTCCCAGCACTGCTGTCCCGGCCCCCTGCCCTCTACCCGCAGCCAATCACGGCACAGGACGCCCGTGAGCCCGCAGACGTACGCCCCCTCAGTCCCAACTCAGCCAATCAAGGTGCGGGACGCAGGCCACGCGACCCTCACGCAAGGCGGGGCTGCGCGACGGAGGCGGGCCAGCGTGGGAATCAGCTTTCCCGGAAACAGCCGGGTGCAGCAATTATTGAGCCTGGCGTTTTCACACCCTTTCCTTGCCAGCAAGTTCCGGTCGTTTTGTCCCTTGGGGAATGTCACTAGCCCATAAGAGAAAACGTAAAAGTAACTCAGAAACCGCTGTATCTTGAAGCTATAGCCATTCAGAATTCCCCAAATAATTCGATAGGTAAAGAACTAATTTACCAAAAAAAAAAAAAGTAGTTCAAAAAACAAAACACCTCTTTGGAACATAGCTAGCCTTACTGCTACTCCTCCCACCCGCCCCCAGTAGTGAGCGACTGTGTCTGATACGTCTTTAAAAGCCTCCCCCTGCCACTTTCGCCTAAATACTTGCCTTTTCCGATAAACTGTCCAGTGGTTTACATTCTAATTATTACCAGTGATGCCAACCTCATAAACTAATTTCTCCTTAAAGCCAGTCCAATGTCTATCCCATTTATTCTTATATTTATCTATCAACCAACAAATACTTATGGTATGCCTATTAAGTTTCAAGCATGTGAAACAGCAATGAGAAGACAGCAGTGGACAAGACAAGGGGGAATAAAGTACATTCCCGGTCCTGATGGAGTTTACATGTAGGACAGCGAAGGACAAAGACATTAACAACCAATAACATGATTAATCCCAACTAGAGTTAAATGTTTCCAAAGACAGGGTGCCCTGACCCTGCCTAGTTGTCCTATGCTCCTGTATAGAGTTGGGTGTCGGGAAAGCTGTGATTTTCCCAGCCTGGAGATCTCTCCCTTCATGAGTTTCATAGCACACTGTGCACAGTTCTAACAGCCTGAACACACACCACCGTAATTCTTCCAGACTGCCCTCTCACTTTGTGAACTCCTTGTGGAAACTTATGGATTTATTTTCCTATGAACAGTATCTGGCACATTATAGGAACCCAGGAAATGCTAATTGGAGCCTAGCCTTAATATTCAGTTTGTGCTCAATAGGCTTTTTGAGATGGACTGACATTTGCACTTTAATTACACTGAGCAGCAGCAAGAATCCTAGCTCTTTATCGCAAGATCAACTCTGATTTCCAGGACATTCTAAAATTAAATGAGTAGCTCATGTATATGAGGCTAGGGCTGCTTGTCCAGTGACCCTTCTCCTTCTGAGTTATCCTTATATAAAAATCCTATTATTCATGGCTTTACTGAACACTTTTTCCTGCAATTCAAGGATCTGGGACCTGGATTAACCAAAATGTTTCACTGCATTAGGAAAAGGGAATTAGAGTAGGATACAGACAAGGGAAGGCAGTCAAGGAATGTAAACTCAAGCACTTTAGAACTGCATGCTGCAATCACTGGTCAGGAGAAAGGGAGCAGACATGTACACTAGGGTGCTGGCAGCTTAACTTGTACAAGGGCTCCACATAGTTGTATAAGAAATGGTAATACATATGATCATGTGCATTGTAATCAAAACTTGAAACTGACCAAGTCAGCTATGCCAACTGTATTAAATAAAGGCTACCTAAAGTTTTTTCCATTCCAAGTATTTAGTGAATTTCTAGGACCACGCAATCAGAAAAAAAGCACTTGGATGGAGAAATGGAAAAAAGAAGCCAGTATTATGGATATTACCTATAAGAAAATTACAAACATGTTTGAAATTGTGGGAAGATCCTGAAGTTTCTAGTACTTAAGAGATGTATTAAAAATATATTGTTATGGGCTGCATGGGTGGCTCAGTCGGTTAAGCTTCTGCCTTCAGCTCAGGTCATGATCTCAGGGTCCTGGGATCAAGCCCCATGTCGGGATCCCTGCTCAGCGGGGAGTCTGCTTCTCCCTCTCCCTCTGCTGTTCCCCCTGCTTGTGCTCTCTCTCAAATAAATAAATAAAATCTTTAAAAAAATATACTGTTATCAGTCTTTTATATCCCAATTTTACTAATTTATTTCAAGTGAATGTAAAAGCATAAAAACTTTGCATGTGTTCTTTCAAAAGTTTGGTTTCCTCAACTCAATTTTTCCAAGTTGCAGAACAGAACAGGTTTTGTTAATAAGATTTCAAGATACATTTCCTGAATGAATATAAGGTCTTAAATCCCTCAACCACCAGCAGGGTTTTCAGAAACTAACCCTTCTGGTTAGGGGAAAACACTGTATTCAAATATCTGCTTACCTGAAATACACTAATACCTGTCTTTCCCTTTCAGTGATTCTTTTTAGTTACAATTTAGACCGAACTGAAAAAGCTTTCCAAAAAACCCCCTAAAAGCCCAAATCCCCCTACATTTAAAAGTAAAGTATCAGTGTCTATGCTGAAACAATGTTCTTTTACTAAAATATTTATTCACATTGAAACTGAATCTTTTAGGGGCGCCTGGATGGCTCAGTCTGTTAGGTGTCCGTCTTGATCTCTTCTCAGGTCTTGATCTCAGGCCCATGAGTTCAAGCCCCACATTTGGCTCCACACTGGGCGTGGAGCCTACTTAAAAACAAAAAAAACCTGAATCTTTTATTCCCCTGGATGATGATGACAAATCCCAGGTCTATGAATTTCTCAATGCTGTACAGTACAATCAGGTCCAAAGAGTAGGTTGCTAAATAGAAGCATCATGAAAAACAATTAAAATATCACTCCTTATTAACAGTGGTGAAAGAAGATAAAACATTTTTTTTCTTTTCTCAGTAATGGAACTTATCAATCAGTGTTAATTCATTATTCAGGATGCTTTTTAAAATGGGTATCATATAAAAAATATGTTACTGTTTTTGCATTTTAGACTCAAATTATTCTTAAGTTACCTTTAAATACAATTATCACACTGAACATCTATCACAACTAAGAGTGGGAAAATAAACAAAAACCACTGGTTATAATTCCAAAAGGAAAAAACTAGCCTACGAGAGACAGGAATGGGATAATAATAGTAATGAGAACAACAACAGCTAACCACAGCTGTGGCATACAGTTAGGCAGACTATGCACTGCACAGTCCAGGGAGCTATAAAGCATGGCAGCCCTGCAGCTAACACTTATCGACTAATCTGCCACATGCCAGGCACTGTTATGAGCATTTCATATGTAGTATAAAGCAGATACTACTCTCATCCCTATATCATAAATAAGAAAAAAAAGGCACAGAAGGTTAATAACTTGCCCAAGATCTCAAATGAGTGGCAGAGCCAGGCCTTTGACTCCAGAGCTCACATTATTAACTGTAGTGACTAACTCATAGTGTTAAGCCCCATTATCTGAAATAACCTCTTTGGTTTTAAATCTTTCTTGCAGATAGGTATGATAAAAAGTATAAAGCATTTGGAAGTTAGTAATCTTATTTGGAATAATTTTGAAAAATACTATATTACTAAATAAATGGGAGCTGTTCCTTCATCCAGAATGGTTACATGTGGTTTATAGACTCTGTCTCTGATTTGTAATCACATCTCACAGAACAATGCTCTCCCCCTTAACTAAAACAAAAACTTAAAAAGAAAAGAAAAAACAACCACCACCAAGTACACAAGATTCCATATATGCATATACTTTAATAACAAGGTCACTTAGCTGTAAATGAACAAAGGGAGACAAAGAGAACTTAACACATGATACTTCCACAGATTTGGGTCAAAACAGGCATACATGAAGATTTAAAACATATACTGTCTATGTTAACAGAGGCTATAACTACCAATTTTGATTGTGCACATTTTCTAAAACATTATTATCAAAGACTGTAAAGTTAGATCAAACAATAATTATCAAGAAAATTTTGCTCTAAAATTTTAACAAAGTCTTTTAAGAAAGTCTAAAAACCTATTTTCCCACATTGACTCTCGAAACTTTTTTATATCAGAATATCAGTTTGCCACTTTAACTTTTACCATACATGAAAAATTATCAAAAATATATGGGTGGGTCTATATTAATTGTGAGTATTTATATTTACATTAAGCAAAACTTTTACCAAGTTATTTATATACAAATTACCATTTGTCCTATGTGAAATTCATTAGAAAGTTTAAAACTATAGAAATGTCATTAGAAACAATGCATTTCAAAATGTAACTGCTTTCCATCAATGAAGAACATTTTAAAATAATTTAACTGAAAAAAGTAGTGAACTCCCCACCAATTTCAGCTGCAACAGTATTCCTCCTGAATGTTTTCTGTGATTTAAGGGGGAAAAAAAAAAACTGGGTAAAGTTTGACTGCAAGGAATTAAATGATAAAAATTTGATGAGTGTTTACTGATCTTCAACAAATGTACAGTCTAATTAGGGTTGGTGCTAAAAAAACCCAGCAATTTTTTTAAACTTTTACTTTTTATTATTGCTGTTCATATATATATTACTACTGAAGTATAACTGACAGACAATATTATATTAAGTTTCAGGTGTACATCATACTGATCCAACAATTCAATATGTTACTCAATGCTCAACATGATAAATACAGTTAGCAGTAATTTAAAAATTGCAAACAGTTTAAGATAACTGAAGAAACATGTCTTTTAAAACTGGTAAATGTACTGTTTTAGATACTTTTCATATAAACTTAAATCATAAAGTAGTATCCCACATCCAATTCAACTGAATATAGCCATGGCTTTTTGATACCTCTAAAAAGGGCCAATATTAAAAAAAATTGAACTATTCCTGAACTGGAAAGAATTTAGATTTCAGAAGTATCACAACAGACAAAAGAAACTTATAAACATTTAAGAGGCAAAGATTTGGGGAAAAGTTCATAAAGAGATTATGTTAATACCACTAAAATAAAAAGTCACTTTAATTGTTTTAAACTCATGGTCACATAGTAAGGAGTTGAAAAAGAGTTTTTTCTGAGAAAAAACTTGAGCACAACATTATTACTTTTTCAGATTTAAAGATCATCAATTAAGATGACCATAAAACTAAGTGCAGCAATTTGTCCAGCAGAGATGAACTTCTCTTATCTAAGAATTAACTGATTTTGTAACAATCACTGAAAAATTTAAGCCTCAGTTTCTCTAGTTTGAAAAAAAATGATTAGCTCCATTTTGGAAATTGTCTTAATTTATGTTGATCACACAATACACTAAAACAAGAAATAAAGGTATAAAATATTTACCTAATTAGTGCTCTGTCGCTGGACCTTAGGACCAATACTCTGCGTGTCCTCTTCCTCGCTAGGACGTTTCCCAGTGCTGAGACCAGTGCCCATGGAGCTTCTTCCTACATATTTAAAAAAATGTATTTTTTTTAAGTGTATGTTTAATATAGGAATGGTAAAAAGAACAGTATGCTCAAATGCTTCATTCTTACCTTGCTTTAATAGATGAGTTTGCTGACTGTCTCCATGAGCATAATGTAAAATACCACTCCCTTGAGAGCAACCTGTTAGTATTTAAAAATACTTAAATTACTTAAATTTACTTAAAATTTAGTAAAATTACTTAAATCCCAAGTCATATGTATTAAGACTACAAATCTAATTTTTAGTTAACAGTATTAAGGGCATTTATGCTTTTTAGGACTAAACCTCAATCCTTCATATGAGCCAAAAATCACATGCCCAAATCAGGAAAATTTAAACATAGGGTCATAGAAATGTTGACTTTTGGTTCAAAGGCAAAATCACTGATAATCATTTTCTAAAAAACATTCCTTTACTGAATAACAATTAGACACTTGGAAGCAAAATATAGAGCAACAGTGGGATATATATCCTCCTTTCACCTCTTGTCCCTTTATTCCACATTCTTCCCTCAGTGCCTGTCCAAAACATATGTCCTTGGAGAGAAGTGAATGAGGGTCTGCCAGATGAGAATTAAACAATTCAAATCATACAAAGAGGAGGAAATACAATGTGGCAGTTACCTAGCCTAAGCAATTACATTAACCCTTCTAAAAAGAAACAATGTTACAGGAGAATGGGTTGGCACAGAAAGTAGGTTCTAGAGAAACATTTTTGTCAGTGTGTCCAGATTATGGACAAATATGAACATTCTAGCTCCTACAGAGAAGTCACCTCATGGTCTGAACAAGGCAATCTACTTATTTTTTATTGTAATTTCATGCTCATCAAGTTCCTCTGGATAAAGAATTCAGCTTTTCAGGTACTCAAAATTGGGAAAGTGAATGCCCTGATCAGGGATGAGGGCTTCCATCACTGGAAAGGGATACCTCCACCATAAATAATAAACTAGTGTTCCCTGTTGATACATATTTTTTATTTTATTTTTATTTTTATTTTTTTTAAAGATTTTATTTATTTATTTGAGAGAGAGAGAATGAGAGAGAGCACATGAGAGGGGGGAGGGTCGGAGGGAGAAGCAGACTCCCTGCAGAGCAGGGAGCCCGATGTGGGACTCGATCCAGGGACTCCAGGATCATGACCTGAGCCGAAGGCAGTCGCTTAACCAACTGAGCCACCCAGGCGCCCGATACATATTTTTTAAAGATTTTATTTGTCAGAGAGAGAGGGGGGAGAGAAAGAGAGGGAGAGGGCACAAGGAGGGAGAGTGGCAGGCAGAGGTAGAAGCAGGCTCCCCCGTTGAGCAAGGAGCCCGACGCGGGACTCAATTCCAGGACCCTGGGATCATGACCTGAGCCGAAGGCAGACGCTTAACCGACTGAGCCACCCAGGCGACCCTGATTATTTTTTTTTTAAGATTTTATTTATTTATTTGACAGAGAGAGACATCACAAGTAGGCAGACAGGCAGAGGGAGAGGGAGAAGCAGGCTCCCCGCTAGGCAGGGAGCCCGATGTGGGGCTCGATCCCAGGACCCTGGGATCATGACCTGAGCCGAAGGCAGATGCTTAACCGACTGAGCCACCCAGGCGCCCCCCTGATATTTTAAATCACATGGTTGGTGTGTGTGTGTGTGTGTGTGTAATTATGTATGTATGGATGGATGGATGGATGGATTGATTTAGGGGGTAGTGCAGAGGGTGAGAGAGAATCTTAAGCAGGCTCCACAACCAGTGTGGAACCTGATGCAGAGCTCAATCTCATGACCCTGAGATCATGACCTGAGCCAAAATCAAGAATCAGATGCTTAACTGACTGAGCCACCCAGGCGCCCCTAAATCACATGAGTTTTAAACTTCTAGTCTGCCAGTCACAGGATGGTCACCTCTAATTATACTAAAAACACTCAGTTCTTGGACTTGTTGAAGGTCAGATTCTGGACTATAGCAAATTCACCACTGAATGGTGCTATTCCTGGTTTTACCATCAGCAGGGCTTCCCCTAATAGTGATAATTGTTGTCTTGCATTATTGTACAAGATTATTTAAAACTTCACACAACAATGTGAACGTACTTAATTCCACTGAATTGTACATTTAAAATGGTTAAATGCTGGGCGCCTGGGTGGCTCAGTTGGTTAAGCGACTGCCTTCGGCTCAGGTCATGATCCTGGAGTCCCAGGATCGAGTCCCACATCGGGCTCCCTGCTCGGCAGGGAGTCTGCTTCTCCCTCTGACCCTAACCCCTCTCATGTGCTCTCTCTCATTCTCTCTCTCAAATAAATAAATAAAATCTTTAAAAAATAAAATAAAATAAAATGGTTAAATGCTAAGTTTTATGTTTACATATATTTTGCTATCAAGAAAACTTCAACAGGGGCGCTTGGGTGGCTCTGTCGGTTGAGCATTGGACTCTTGGTTTCTGCTCCAGTCATGATCTCAGGATTGAGCCCTACATCAGGCTCCCCACTCAGCAGGGAGTCTGCTTGGGATTCCTTCCATCTCCCTCTGTCCCTCCCCCTGATCACATACACACTCTCTCTAAAATAAATAAATTAAAAAGAAAGAAAGAAAGGAAACTTCAACAAATACATTTTTGATTATCGTATTTAGTCATACCTTATACATTTGTTGAGTGCTCCTTTATGCTAGAGATTATACTAGGTACTAGGGATACAAATATTACTAAGACATGAAGTCTTGTCTTCAAGGGGCTCACAGTCCAAGTAGAAAGTGACAGATACATAAAATCACTAAGTACAACTAAATGTTATTATAATGGCTCTGGGATGGAAGTTGTTACAGCATACAGTGAGGACAATGAGGAAGGAAAAGTCAATTTTACTGGAAGATTCAGAGGTAGGTTAAATCACAGACTAGTCACCTCATTTTCTCAACTTCATCAATTTTCTTCCTCTTCCAGTTCTAAGATAAATGAGAATAATCTCATAAAAAAAATATTGAGTGAAAGCAGCCAGATACAAAAAACAAACTACAGGATTCTATAAAGTTCAAAAATGGGCAAAAAATTATAGTATTAGAAATCAGGAGAATGATTACTTTTAAAGATGAGAGGGTAAATTAATAAGCTCAATAAATACATTCAGAATTTCCTTAAGATAGCAGTTTATTTCTTTAGAGTTAAATGATAAGCAGGCACTTAGAATCTTCCTGTGGCCCTAAATAAATGAATATCTCAACTGCCTATAACTTCCCCATAAAAATGCAGTAAATTGGGGCACCTGGGTGGCTCAGTCATCAAGCATCTGCCTTTGGCTCAGGTCATGATCCCAGGGTCCTGGGATCGAGCCCCACATAGGGCTCCCTGCTCAGTGGGGAGCCTGCTTCTCCCTCCCCCTGCTTGTGCATGCTCTCTCTCTCTCTCAAATACAGATTTTATTTATTTGAGAGAGAGAGACAGAGATAGCGACAGAGATAGCGAGAAGACAGCATGAGCGGGGAGGAGAGGGAGAGCAGGAAGCCTGATGGGGTTCAATTCCAGGACCCTGGAACCATGACCTGAGCCAAAGGCAGACGCTTAACTGACAGAGCCACCCAGGTGTCCCAAATAAATAAAATGTTTTAAAAAAATTCTAACTCTAAGCTACTGTGGGGGGAAAATGCATAGAAAAGATATTCAAAGGAAATACACAAAAATTTAATAGTAACTATCTCTACTGGATGGAATGGTGGGTGATTTTTATTTTTCGTTTTGATTTTTCTGAATTTCCTAAATTGTATATAGTGAATAGGGTTTTTTTTTAAGCAGTTTTGAGGTATAATTTACATAACATAAAATTCACCTGTTTTAAGTATACAGTTCAATAAATTTTAGTAAATTTGCAGAGTTGTGTAATCATTGCACAATCCCATTGCATTCATTCTCATTCCTACCCCTAAACCTAAGGTAACCATTAACTTACTTTAAAGAAATGCCTTTTCTAGATAGTTCATATAAATGGAATTGTGCAGTATGTGGTCTTTTATGTCTGTATTTTTGAGGTCTATCCATGTTGTAGCATGTACCAGCATTTTATTCCTTCTTATGGATTAATATTCCATTGAATGGATGTGCCACATTTTGACTATTATAAATAAAGCTATCATAAACATTCTTATGATTCTTAAGTCTGTGTAGATATATTTTCATTTCTTTTGGATAGATACTTAGGAATGAAATTTCTGGGTTATATGTTAAATTTATGTTTAGCTTTTAAGAAACTGCCAACCTGTTTCCCAAAGTAGCTGTACCATTTTACAGACCACCTCTCAACAACATATGAGAGTTCCAGTCTCTTCACATCCTCCATAACACTTGTTATCGTCTGTCATTTTTTAGGTACTTGAGTGGGTACAGATAACAAACTCACCCCAGTTTGTCTGGGATTTTTCAAGTATTAGCACTGCAAGTCTCATGTCTCAGGAAACCCCTCAATCCTAGGTACTCAGTGATAGTTGGTTACCCTCAGTGGGAAGTCTCTTAGTGGTTTTGATTTGCATTTCCCTAAGGACTAATAATGCTGAATGGGTATTTTTAATAGAAAAAAAATAAATACAAACATATTACTATCGTAAATAGATTGTGATTTTATTATAAGAACAAAAATACTTCAAGTCATCTGTGTACAAGTTATAAAGAATCTTGCCCTTTGATATGCCTTCTGAGACACTGTAAAATAAAAGTCTACAAACAGGATAAGTAGAGGGCATAAAGGGATATGCTTCAGAAATATCCAAGTCCTTTCAAATGGAACAGAAACTAGAGGGAAGAGAAATGCTTAATAGCATAGTCCAAATCCTCAGGATCTTTCCATAATCACTCCCATTTCCAGGTCCACAATGCTTTCTCCTTCATCTGCCTACCCAAATGCTACCCATCCCACCATCTTCCAAGAAAACTTCTGTAGTTCTTTCAGCTCTCAATGACTGTTTCTTTTCTTATTGCATATGGAAGCAGCATCTTACAATTTATAATTTTTTCATTTGTGTTTCTCTTCCCCCCATTTACACTTGAAAGCCTCACAGCACCTAACTACAGAGTGTGTTACAGGCAACTATTTACATGATTAGAGTACTTCAAGATTTATTAATCCTATTATATGATAAAATATCATGTGTATTTGTAAAGCAAAATTATTCCAATTTAACTTGCTACCATGGTTAGTTTTTGCAGATAACTCCAAATAATGAATACAGATTTGAGTGGACCAAGAAGCAGTATGCACCATCACTATCCATTAGTTGGGTATCTGGAACCTGTTGCTTCCTACCGTTCTGTTACCTGCCTGTTATTTATGTGCTTCACAGAACTTCTATCCCTCAAATTCATGTATGGACAAAGGAAGCAGGCTGTGAATTGAACAAGAGATCTGACAAAACTATTGAACTGATACCCTGATGAAGTTCAAAATGTAGCTCTGAGAAGAACAGAAGAAGAAGTATACTGCCATCACTGAGCTACTACTAGACCGCTAAGTGAGACACGTTCCAGTAAAAAAATGCTTTATCTTATAAACACTATATATGGCATTACATTTGCAGGGGAGGCCCAATAAGAACTTTTGAACTAGTCAGACCTGGATCTGAATCTTAGCTCAACTACTTACTAACTGTGGGATCTTGATTAAGTTACCTAACCTTTCTTGGCCAATTTCCACCACTACCTCCCCAGATTATTGTGAGAATGTGGCAAAAATCCCCCTGTACTGGGCATAAAGTAGATAGTCAAAATGTGAGTGCTTTGTTCCTTTCTCCTTAATCTAATTGTTGGAGTAAAAAAATATATGCTCTCAAAAGGATACAAAGTATTTCTGAATAAGAAAGGTTCAATTTTTTAAAGGTTTTGTTCTTAATATCAATTTTAAACGTGACTTTTTGGAAAAAAAATAAGCATTCCTCAAATGCTGCCTTGTTTTTAATCAAATTAATTAGCCTCATGCTATTTTGGTTAGAACCTTTGCAAACGTATACAATGATTCAAATTTCCAGTACTGGCTTCTTGACATTATTAATATCATACATTAAGAATATATGTGGCGGGCGCCTGGGTGGCTCAGTTGGTTAAGCGACTGCCTTCAGCTCAGGTCATGATCCCAGGGTCCTGGGATTGAGTCCCGCATCAGGCTCCCTGCTCTGCGGGGAGCCTGCTTCTCCCTCTCCCACTCCCCCTGCTTGTGTTCCCTCTCTCGCTGTGTCTCTCTCTGTCAAATAAATAAATAAAATCTTTAAAAAAAAAAAAAAAAGAATATATGTGGCAACTAAGTATATATCATATGGAAAATCACTACAAACAAGACTGGAAGGAAAAATTCATGTGCAAAAAGACAAAAGGCCCTATGTATGTGTATGATAAATCTTTTGGCCATATTCACAGGACCACTGACCTTAACTAATTACCTTATACCTGATATGTACCTAAAGAAAGTAAAAAATAATGAACCTTCAGAAAATGGGATCTTTGAGTTTCATTTTACCCTTAAAATTGCCCTTCTCAATATCATGCAGCCATCAAAAAAAATGAAATCTTGCCATTTGCAATGACATGGATGGAACTAGAGGGTATTACGCTAAGTGAAATAAGTCAATCAGAGAAAGACAAGTATCATATGATCTCAATGATAAGAGGAATTTGAGAAACAAGACAGAGGATCAGGGGGAAGGAAGGGAAAAATGAAACAAGATGAAACCAGAGAGGGAGACAAACCATAAGAGACTCTTAACCTCGGAAACAAACTGAGGGTTGCTGGGGTGGAGGGGGTTGGGAGGGATGGGATGGCTGGGTGATGGACATCGGGGAGGGTAAGTACTATGATGAGCGCTGTGAATTGTGTACGACTGATGAATCACAGACCAGTACCCCTGAAACAAATAATACATTATATGTTAATTTAAAAAAATTGCCCTCTTCATTCAGTTTGCAAGATCTTTACTTTGAGCTAAATTCTACTACATGTAATGATGCTTTCCATCCCCAAAATGTCACTAATGGAATGACGGGTGTGTGTGTGTGTGTACATGTATGCCGAAAAAACATTATAGTGAGATTTAATAAAAAATATATTTGAGGGGCGCCTGGGTGGCTCAGTTGGTTAAGCGACTGCCTTTGGCTCAGGTCATGATCCTGGAGTCCCTGGATCGGGTCCCGCATCGGGCTCCCTGCTCAGCAGGGAGTCTGCTTCTCCCTCTGACCCTCCCCCCCTCTATGGGCTCTCTCTCATTCTCTCTCAAATAAATAAATAAAATCTTTAAAAAAAAAAAAAAATATATATATATATATATATATTTGATTATTAATCTCTTTATGTGGCTAAGTACATAAATTTCCTTTTCACTTACTTCCACTGCTGCTACAACCTGGAATATTTTCTCCAGGAGAATACCCCATGAGGCCTCCATTCCCATTAGGATTAGAAGGCACTGATGCAAGAAGACCTAAAGGGAAAAAATTTCCTATTAAATTATGATCAAGATCAAATTCAAGGATAGGTACATAAACACCTGCCAAAGAAACAAACCAAAGGTAATTAATGACATACCTAGTCCTCTATATCGTGAAAGCTGCTGATAGATCTGCTTCATCCTCTCAATATTCAAACGGCTTGCCTCAGCATGATTCACCATTGGTTTAGGATAATTAACTCCTATCAAACATTTGGCTACCTTTTGGATACCTTCTGGTGCATTCCAGGGATCATAGATATATTTTGCAGGGAAACCTCTTAGTACAGGCAAATAACGCCTTTTGGGAGAAGGAAGAAAAATTATTAATAAAATGAACTACAAGCAAATTATAACAAACTAATTATTAGCTATGAATGACCAAAATCAAGTCAATATCATTTAATGATTTGTTTACCTATCTCCTCATCTCTGCTGCCCAACATGAGTGGGGAAAACCTTAAGTGTTGCTTAAACATGAAAAGCTCTTCCTGGATTAGTTATTCCAAACTGAATAATAACCACCCTTGATTTACCTGATATAGTCTCCATTGGGATCTGTTCTCCTACCAAAACCAACAGGGCAATAGCAGTGAAAAAACTGCTGGAAAAAGGAACTACAAGACAGCCACATCCAACTTCCAGCATTTATGCTCCAATCTGCATCAAGCAATAATTCTTCAAATACCTTCAGAAGTAACAGTAACCAATTAGTTTGTACACATATAATTCTCAAAGCAAGCATTTTCCAGGTCTCTGTAGATCAAAAGTCAAGGGAAAGAAAATCTAGCACAGAACTGTAAAATTAAACATTCCAAAGTTAGCCTCCTTGTCAATGTTCTGTTCTGTAATGAGTTATTTCAGGGAAAGAAAAAGATCAGTAATATAAGTGAATTTACCTTTCTAGTCTTTGCTGTGTTACTGAGGGGAGGGTAAAATAATGACTCAAGTCACTGATCCAATTAAAAAAGGGAAGAAAAAAAGCAGCGAACACTTTCAAGAAAGGAAAGATGCTACCAAATAAATCACTAACAAAAACTGAGAAGCCTGGTATACTGGCCTACATATAGGGAGCACCCAAATATAAATGACTTTTAAAAATGCACTTGAGAAAAAATCCAAAAAAACAAAACAAAAAATACACTAGTGAAAAAGCACAAAAAAGAAAAAAAGAAAAAAAGCACTAGCATTATAGAGTTTAAATTTGGAATTCCTTGACCAAAAGGGAAACAGATTTAAAATGCCTTTTTATAAATTCATTAAGTGTTTACTATACACCCACCTCATGTACAACTTTGTCCAAGGAAATACAGGAGATGCAAAAAAAAAAGGGGGGGGGATCGAAATGGTCCTTGGATAGGGGAAATATATGATATAGGCAGGAAGGTGAAACAAGTCCTATTATATATAACCACAAGATGATGTCACAAAATGTTGTATGCTTCACTTTACATAATCATTAAAATGTTATGATGTTGTAGTAAGGCAAAATGATATATATTTTAAATTTTATAATATAAATTCACTATTTCTAAGAATTCTTGGGCAAATCCTTTTTTGTAACAGAAATGATCATCTATAAATATGTTAATCCAATGAGTCCAGAGTGTTAAACCTTATAGTTCCCTTGATGGCTAGGCTGGTTCATGGTTCAGTCTCTGAAATGACTTGAGGTTATAATCAAACCAGTTTTCACCATTTTTCCTGTCTGATTACACCATTCTGCTCTCCAAGAGTGTGCCTGTATTAGGAAATTAAATTCTTTACCTGCTGAAAAAAATTAGACTATAAATGAATCTAAGTAAGAGACAACTTCTAGGAATTGTTTTAATAAGTTATAGGCTCAAAATAAGACTCTGCTACATTAGTTAGAAAAATACTCACCTTCATTCCTTCTTCCCAACTAATCCACAGGTCACCCCGGGTCAGGAAGCAAGCCACTGCATGTCTGGCTAAATGGTGAATCCAACCCTCCTGACGAAGCTGTGTCATGATGGCATCAATCCATGGAAAGCCTGTCCGGCCTTCTGCCCATTTTGCTAAAGCCTCAGGATTCTTATCCCAAGGAATCTGAACACAGATGGGATTTCCTTCCATTTTATCAAAGCGTGGATTATTTGTTGCTGCTGTATAGAAAAATTCACGCCATAACAGTTGCCCATAAAGGGAAAGGGGAGGGGAACTGTTCTTCTTTACCTAAGGTTAAAAAGCAAAGAGGTATTACCAGCAATTTTTTAAAGAAGTTATTTTGAAAAATTAGCTTCAGTTTTAGGTAATACCTTTTTGTACAGATCTGTTAGTTTGAAGTAAAATAGTCGACATGACAAACAACCAAATCGGAGATAAGGACTGAGTCCAGTAGGGCTAGCAAGCAGGGAATTTGCATTCATTCGAGGTCTTTCAAAGTTGGCTACCCAAGCCTGAAAACACACAGAGAGAATTATGCTGGCTAACTGTCTTTTCCATTTTAAAAGAGTATTTAAAACTGACTTTTTTTTTTTTTTAAAGTTACATAGTTCTTGGGGAATAAAATTTTATTATCCCAGTCACAAACACGTTTTAATAAACACAACAGAATAAAAGTGAGCATTCTTTTGTTTCAGCCATCCTCGTGTAGCACATACTCATGTGAAATAAATTATCTTCAAATTCCTAACACCAAGCTGAGAGCACTTTCAACCTGTCTCCTTGACATTGAGGTAAAGGTGAAATAGAAGAACTTTATCTTAGCTTCAAAGTTATGGTCATCAGATACCAGCTTACACAGAAAGAAGAGAAGAGATAGTACTGGTAGTAGCTAAAGAAGAAATAGTCAGCAGAGGAGGAAAAAAATATTTAAATGAGGAGATGGTTGTTAATTTTCAAACAATTAGGTCTATGCTATTTTAACTATTTCTCTCAATTCTTCTTTTCAACAGACTATTTTTTGTTTTTAAAAAAGAGTGAAATTATTTTTTAAATGCCAGTTTGGAAATACAAGCATGACCTATATTATCATACTTTTCTTTCCAAATGCCTTTCCAAACGTGTAAGTGCTTCAGTTTCTCCGCCTGGCCATACTGCAGAGGGCAAGCCATCTGTATCAAAACCTAAAAAAAAAAAAAAAAAAAAAAAAACAGAAAAAAGAAAAAGATATTCTTCTGTAACTAAAATAATTTTTATTGAACCACAATAATTGGGAAAAAATACTTCACAGAAAAATTAACAGTAGCATAAAAATTAACTGAGGGCCCTGGATAGGTCTTCACATATAAGGATATAATATGGTCTCTATTCTTTAGGACAAACATCTTAAGGTGATTAACAGATCACATTTATAGCACACATATGTACAGATTTATCACTTCTTAAAGAGTTTCTTTTAGATTTTTTTCTCCTTTCTTTCCCTCTTAATGCAAAATACTTTACATGTCAAATTAGAAGTGAGATTTTCTGAGTGATTTATTAACTCTTAAGCTTCATTTATACCTACCTAATTCTTCTAATGAAGGGACTCCATATTTCTCATCATGGTCATCAGAAAGAGGAGTTGTGCACTTTTCTATCACTTCGGAAGTAATTGTCTCTACTGGTATCTCTAGTGGTTCCATTTTGCTGATAAGAGTCTGGAATCTCTTATAAGTAAGAGGTGGTTGTCCACCATTGAGTTCTATGATCCTATTGTAGTGCAAAGTTAGTAAAGTGCAAAAAAAAAGTTAGTAAAATGCAGTTAGTATTAAGAAATGACAATATATTTTGATTGATAACTTCTGAAAATGCTTAAAATCAGAAAACAAAAATTAATTACTTAAGACTTCCATATAAGCTTCTCTTATGACCAAGAAACTTATTAAAATAGCTAATGAATCTAAAAATTATTCTCTTCATTTTCTAGACATCTGCTATGTGTCAAAAATATACAGCACACAAATAACAAAACCTTTAAGACAAAGGGTATTTAGTATCTATGAATGAAAAAAACAAGTGGTTAAATCAGCCTAAAAGTAGTAACATAAAAATAATATATATGAAAGGTAAAAACATATTACAACACAACTCAAAGAATCTCTTAATCATCAGTAAAAACCAAACCAGACCAATATTATATTGAGGAGCAATAAAGCAAGTCTTATTAATTAGGATTCTATATACTATAGTGATAATCACTTGCTACTTTCTGTTGTGCTCATCATGCCTTTGTTAAATATGTCAGCATATGTATCTTATGGATATACTTTAAATTTCCCTCCTCCTTTTTAATGTACTGTTTGAATCAGTTTGCTAGTATTTTGTGAAGATTTTTGCATCTATATTCATGAGAGATACTGAGTTCTCTTTTTTTATGGTGTCTTTATCTGGTTTGGTATCAGGCTAATACTGGCCTCACAGAATGAATTTGGAAGTGAAATTAAGAAAACAATCTCATTTACAATTGCACCCAAAAAAAAAAAAAATCTAGGAATAAACTTAATCAAAGAGGTGAAAGACTTGTACTCCAAAAACTATAAAACCTGACAAAAGAAATTCAAGATGACACAAAGAAATGGAAAGACACTCCATGCTCATGGGCTGAAAGAACAAATACTGATGGGACGCCTGCCTGGCTCAGTCAAAACAGCGTGCAATTCTTGATGCTAGGGGGAGTTCCACGTTGGGATTACATAAACAAACAAAATTAACACAAAAGATATTGTTAAAATGTCTACACTACTCAAAGCAATATACACATTTAATGCAACCCCTATCAAAATATCGATAGCATTTTTCACAGAGCGAGAACAAACAATTCTAAAGTTTGTATGGAACCACAAAAGACCTCGAATAGCCAAAGCAATCTTAAAAAAGAAAAACAAAACTGGAGGTATCACAATTCCAAATTTCAAGTTATATTACAACGTAGTAGTAATTAACAGTATGGTACTGGCATAAAAAGAGACACATAGATCAGTGGAATAGAAGAGAAAACCCAGAAATAAACCCACAATTATATATGGTCAGTCAATCATCAACAAAGGAAGAATGAATATACAATGGGAAAAGTCTCTTCAATAAATGGTGTTAAGGGTGTGGGGCGGAGGCGGCGGAGAGGCCTGCGGCGGCAGGGAGTGGTGGGGCCGGGAGCGGTGGGGCCGGGAGCGGTGGGGCCGGGAGCGGGCGCTGGGGCCGGGCCGCGCTGAGCCGGAGTGGGTGGCGCACGCCGGCGGGGCGAGCAGCCACCATGTCGGTGTTCTGGAAACTGTTTGGGGCAGGACGGGGCAAGGCCGGCAAGGGCGGCCCGACCCCGCAGGATGCCGTCCAGCGGCTGCGGGACACGGAGGAGATGCTAAGTAAGAAGGAGGAATTCCTGGAGACTAAGATCGAGCAGGAGCTGACTGCCGCCAAGAAGCACGGCACCAAAAACAAACGCGAACTAGAACAAATATAGAATTATTTGGAACCACAAAAGGCTTGAATAACCAGAGCAATCTTGAGAAAGAACAATGCCAGAGGCATCACACTTCCTGATTTCAAACTATACTATAAAGCTGTAGTGATGAAAACAGTGTGGTATTGGCATAAAAACAGACACATAGATCAATGGAATAGAATAGAGAGCCCAGAAATAAACCCACAAATTGACCATATATGGTCAACTAAAAAATAGTAATAATAAATGGTGTTAAGAAAACTGGACAGCTACATGCAAAAGAATGTAACTGGACCATTTTCTTGCACCATACACAAAAATAAACTCAAAACCGATTAAAGACCTAAACGTGAGACCTGAAACCGTAACAATCCTTGAAGAGAGCACAGGCAGTAATTACTCTGACATCTGCTGTAGCAACATTTTCTAGATATGTCTCTTCAGGCAAGGGAAATAAAAGCAAAAATAAGCTACTGGGACTATATCAAAATAAAATGCTTCTGCAAAGGAAACAATCAACAAAACTAAAAGTCAACCTACTGAATGGGAGAAGATATTTGCAAATGACATATCTGATAAAGGGTTAGTGTCCAAAATCTATAAAGAACTTATAAAACTCAGGCGCCTGGGTGGCTCAGTCATTAAGCATCTGCCTTCGGCTCAGGTCATGATCCCAGGGTCCTGGGATCGAGCCCTGCATCGGGCTCCCTGCTCCGTGGGAAGCCTGCTTCTCCCTCTCCCACACCCCCTGCTTGTGTTCCTTCTCTCACTGTGTCTCTCTCTGCCAAATAAATAAATAAAATCTTTAAAAAAAAAAAAAAAACTTATAAAACTCAACACCCAAAAAACAAATAATCCAATTAAAAATGGGCAGAACACATGAACATTTTTCCAAAGAAGACATCCAGATGGGCAACAGACACATGAAGAGATGCTCAGTATCACTCATCATCAGGGAAATGTAAATCAAAACTACAATGATGTATCACCCCACACCTGTCAGAATGGATAAAATTAAAAACACAAGAAACAACAAGTGTTGGTGAGGATGTGGAGAAAAGGGAATCTTCTTGCACTCTTGGTGGGAATGCAAATTGCTGCAGTCACTGTGTAAAAACGGTATGGAGGTTCCCCAAAAAGTTAGAAATAGAATTACCCTAAGATCCAGTAATTTTACTATTGGGTATTTACCCCCAAAATACAAAAACACTAATTCAAAGGGATACATGGACCCCTACATTTATAGCAGCATTATTGGCATATATAACAGCCAAACTATGGAAGCAGTCCAAGTGTCCATCGATAGATGAATGGATAAAGATGTGATATGTATGTATGTATGTGTATATATACACATTATATATATATATATAAGGGAATATTATTCAGCCATAAAAAAGAATGAAATCTTGCCATTTGCAACAACAGGGACAGAGCTAGAGAGTATGATGCTAAGTGGAATATATCAGTCAGAGAAAGACAAATACCAAATGATTTCATATGTGGAACATAAGAAACAAAATAAACAGGCGGGGCGGGGGAGGGGGGAAGAGACAAATCAAGAAACAGACTCTTAACTACAGACAACAAACTGATGATTACCAGAGGGGAGGTGAAGTGGGATATGGGGTAAATAGGTGATGGGGATTAAACAGTACACTTTTACCATGATGAAAAAAATAAAATTAAAAAAACAGTACATTTTTCATTATTCCACATACAGTTACATATAAATTGTATGTATAGAAAGTAAACACCACAAAAACTATCCTCTCTGCTTTTAGTAATTTTGTTTCAGTGTAATACTTCGAGTTTATACACAGGGTCATAATGAAACTTGTGGGCTGTAGCGATACTGCAGTGATACTAGTGAAGACACTGCTAATTATAGAACTTAAGCAAAATAAAGACCTGAGAAAAATGTTTTCTGTATATTTTTATATGATGAATTATATATGGTAAATATTCACATTCAATCCACTAACCAATCCAATTATATGCATAACACTAAATCTCCCACTTAGATGCATGCAAACTGCTCTTATCCTATTTTGCCTCTGATGGGGTTTGGGACAGGTCACCCCAAAATATGTCACTTTGGCATATTGATTACTTTGAATTAAAATTACTTAAGAAACAGCATAAGAAGGACACTCTGACCCTGCTCTGTCTCCCTGAAAGCAAGAAATAAATTCTCTATGTGAAGGGTACTTTCCCAGAACCTGGAGAGTAAAAGGTATCCTTATCATCAGAGACAGGTTAATTCAGGCCTGAGAAGGCTGTATAAACTTCATACATTTGCTACCCTAAACCCAAACTTACTTGTCTTGGTATTTCTTCACTAACTTACTTTTTTTTTTTTTTTCTAAAAGGTGTAAAAGCTGCCTGCTTTGCTCACTTCTTTCAGTCTTATATCCTGGACATATGAATTAAATTTATTTTTCTCCTGTTAATCTGTCTTAAGTCAATTTAATTATTAGACCAGCCAGGAAGTTAGAAGGGAAAAAGGGAAAGTCCTATCCCCCACCCCCACCCCAAATATACTTCCTTCTTGCTATCAGCTTCCTAAAGTTAAGAAAACTGGTAAACTAGAAGGCAAGTTTATTTTCAAGAGATATAGGACTTCTGACTTAATAGCAAATAAGACCCCTGCCTGAAATCAAACCACAGTTTTTCCATACATTTGGAAAAGTAGAATAAAATTAACTAGTTTGTCATATAATTTATAGAGTTAGCTTTATTAACTAGATAAAATGAGTAAATAACTAAAAGCAAAATAATTTAAAAGGTGCATAAATTATGAGATTTTAAGTTCAGCACTTGTGAAGACAACAGTATGCCAAAAGTTACTAAGTTAATTAATCTGTGAACCTTCAAAACTCAAAGCATATAATAATTCCTAAATTTAAACTTGACCACAGAATCTTTTTTAGACAAAGCATCACCAAGAAATGGTATTTCAAGAAATACACTTCGAGAAATAAGATATTATGTCACTGTTCAGAGGACTACAGCTATAGAAAGTAGTATTACATACAGTTGGCAACTGGACTTAAAATCCAGATTGACAAGATAAACACACATGAAATAAAAAAACTTCATACAATCATACTAAATATATCACAGCATTTCATGGTTTTGTGTCATATAAATATGAAATTAATATTGCTAAGAGCCCAGAAAGGTAAGACCACAGGCTGAGTTAGAATAGTCAAGGTAAATTTTGTGATACTCTTAACAGTTTGAAACTGAAATTCTAAGTATTTTTATCTCATGCACTCACTACATCTGTAATTTTGGCATCTGTCACTGAGTAAGTTAAAAAATCCGAGCAGTTAAATAAAATGCTAAGGGTTTGACATATTCATTTAATTCTCCCACAGTTCTATTATGTATATGTTGTTACTTCCATTTTAAAAAACTCCCACAGGTTAAAACTTACTTGTCCATGTACTTTTTTTTTTTTTTTTTAATGCCCAGCGTGGAGCCTAATGTGGGGTTTAGGCTCATGACCCTGAGATCAAGACGTGAGCTGAGATCAAGAGTCAGACAATTAACCAACAGAGCCATCCAGGCGCCCCTTGTCCATGTACTTAATACCACTGAACTGTATACTTAAAAATGGTTGAGACAACAAATATTATGTGTATTTTACCATAAAAAATAAAAGAAAAAAAACTTACTTGTCCAGGTCATATAATGTATGTGAAATTCGTACAATTACTTCTACTCCAGCTTCAGTAGCCAGTTTCTTAATAGCTGCATCTCGTTCCTTTCCAAAAGGCTCAGAATCATACTCAATTGAAAGTTTAGTAATGTTCCATTCCTAAAGTAAGAAAAGGGAACAAAAATGTACACAAATTTAAATAATTATTTTTCCATTATAACAATACATTCTGGGAAAAAGTGAAAAGCTCAAACTCTACATATGAAACGATTATACATAAATCAAACTTTGAATATGCAGGAAGAAACCACACAATTTATAAATTCAGAATTATGTAACTAAGAAATGTACACTCACTAGATTTCAGGCATTATACTAGGCAGTAGACAATCTAGTAATATGCTTAAAACCAGCTTCCTACACTAAATTCGTTTGTATAGCATTTTACTTTTCAAATAATTTACACTTGTATTATTTCATTCGCTCCTCAAAATAACCCCCAGTTTGGCACTTTGGTTGATATCTCCATTTGGCAGATAAGGTTATTTTAAAAATTTAGGGACTTGGGCGCCTGGGTGGCTCAGTTGGTTAAGGGTCTGCCTTCGGCTCGAGTCATGATCCCAGGGTTCTGGGATCGAGTTCTGCATCAGGCTCTCTGCTCAGTGGGGAGTCTGCTTCTCCCTCTACCTCTGCTGCTGACTCTCTCTCTCTGTCAAATAAATAAATAAAATCTTTTAAAAAATATTAGGGACTTGCCCAAGTTCACAAAGAACAAGAATACCTGGAGGGTATTTATGGCTGCTGAATTTATGTCTGCTGATTCTAAGAATTGGTCTTTCACAAACCTTTTTTTTTTTAAGATTTTATTTATTTATTTGAGAGAGAGAGAGCATGAGTGGGGGGAGGAGCAAAGGGAGAAGCAAACTCCCCACTGAGCAGGGAACCCAATGCAATGCGCGGCTCAATCCCAGGACTCTGGGATCATGACCTGAGCCGAAGGCAGATGCTTAACCGACTGAGCCACCCAGGTGCCCTTTCACAAACCTTTGATAGTTAATACGGTATATGTTGCTTTGCAGAGGTAGTCTGTTTTATAATTTTTTATTTCTGATTACCAAAAAATGTTAACTGTGGAGATACAGAGATAGTAATAATGTCAAATATTTATTGAGTATCAGGTGCTATATTGATAAGTTCTGTACACATCTCCTTATAGTGATTTTTTTTTTTTGAAGATTTTATTTATTTATTTGACAGGGAGAGAGAGAGACAGCAAGAGAAGGAACACAAGCAGGGGGAGTGGGAGAGGAAGAAGCAGGCTTCCCGCTGAGCAGGGAGCCCGATGCGGGGCTCGATCCCAGGACCCTGCGATCATGACCTGAGCTGAAGGCAGAAGCTTAACCGACTGAGCCACCCAGGCTCCCCTCCTTATAGTGATTTTCAATGTGGAGACTGTGACTTCAGGGAATTGTGATTTCCTAAGGGGGTAGTAACTTTAATTCTAAAATCTATTCTGATATATCTTACAAGAAAAAAAAAATCAACTGTAAGTCTACTATTATTTAACTCAGGGGTAAAATATTAGCTACTAGCTATAGTAACACACTAATTCTCCAAACCTGTACAGTTTAGACAAGGGCTGTTCCCAATGGTGGGTTAAAAAAAAATACTACTATAAACCTTGCAGGGTATATCTTTATCTTTATGCATGCATCTTAAACATTTTGGGGCATTTGTTCTATTTTTCCTAGAAACAGTTCCTTGAAAAACAATGAATAGATAAGCATATTTAAAATTCTGACAGACAGTGCCAAATTTTCCACCAGATATATTGTACCAATTCACACTCTCATCAGTAGTATACCAAAGTGCTTGCTCCCCATACACTTGCCAGTAGTATGTTAAAGGTTTTTAAAAACCACTAACATACAAATGGTATACACAAAAAAACAGTACCTCATTTTAAAAATTTTCCTTTCTTGAACATCTTGAAGAATGTATACCAAGCTGTCAATAGCTGTTACCTTTAAATTTAGGAGTGCAAATAAGGTAATTATTTTTTATTTTACACACTGTTGCATTGCTCCCATTTGTTAGTTCAATCACATACTGTTTTTGAAATTCAGAAATAAAATAAGAGTAGGAAAGCATTATATTTGTTTTATAGTGAAGCAGTATAGAGTAGTAGTTAAAAAACATAGGATCTAAAGTCAGACCTCCTGAGTTCAAAGACTGGCTCAACTATTTGCACAAATGGCTAAGTTCTTCATGCCTGCTTCTTCATCTATAAAATGGGTAGAATGTGAGTAATGTGCTTAGAGAGTCCCTAGCACATAATAAACACTATGTGTTTGCTACAGTAAAATGAAAAAAAAAAATCATTATGTTACAGGGTTGCTGAAAGAGTAAATGAGATAATGCATGTAAATTGTTAAGGACATAGTATACAGTTCAATGAATGACAGCTATTATTACTAGCCATTTGTATATTTCTTTTTTTGTGAGTTGCAGGTTATGTTTGCTTGGTTTTCTATTGCAGTGAATTTTTCTCTTATGGACTTGTAAGAGCTCCTTATATTTTAATGATAGCAACCTTTCTCTGCCATATATGTTACAACTTTTTTTCCTAAATAGTAGTTTGCAATTCTATGATTTTTTTTGATAAATAATTTTTTAGTTTTTAGATAGATGATAGAGTTTAAGATAAGTCTGTTAACACTTTTGAAAAGGAAGAGAACGTAAGTCAGACACCTAAAGATCAAAATGTAGACCACATTACTAGTAAAGATGAATTGGAGAAAACATACTAGGTTTATGAGCAGGTAAGCTTGCTAATATTTTACCCCTGAATTAAACAGATTTATCCACCCAATGATAAGCATCCCCTTCCCTGCAGTATGGGCTACCCCCTTAAAATTTATCACACAGGAGAAGAAAATAGGATGTGTGCTCTCAGTAAGTGACAAGAAAAGGTACAATCTGAGCTATACTCACCTAGCTCCTTTTACTAAACTCACCAATGAAATCTTTCACTTCTTCCCTGGGGATAAATTAGTGAATATCTCTCCCGAAGAAAAACGAAAAGCTAGGGAGGAGAAGGTTCCCCAAACATTAAATGTATTCATTTATACATCAAATATTACAATCTTTTTTTTTTTTTTAAGATTTTTATTTATTTATTTGAGAGTGAATGAGAGACAGAGAGCACGGGAGGGAAGAGGGTCAGAGGAAGAAGCAGACTCCCTGCCGAGCAGGGAGCCCGATGCGGGACTCGATCCTGGGACTCCAGGATCATGACCTGAGCCGAAGGCAGTCGCTTAACCAACTGAGCCACCCAGGCGCCCTCAAATATTATAATCTTTATTACAGGCCAGATACAATGCTAGGTCCCTCCCTCCTGGAGCTTACTGAGGAAGACTGGTGACACAGAGGTAAATTTAAAAAGCAAATACAGGGGCGCCTGGGTGGCTCAGTAGTTAAGCATCTGCCTTTGGCTCAGGTCATGATCCCAGGGTCCTGGGATCGAGTTCCACATTGGGCTCCCTGCTCGGCGGGAAGCCTGCTTCTCCCTCTCCCACTCCCCCTGCTTGTGTTCCCTTTCTCGCTGTGTCTCTCTCTGTCAAATAAATAAATAAAATCTTAAAAAAAATAATAATAAATAAGTAAAATAAAAATAAAAAGTAAATACATAATAACTATTAGAAAAAAAGAGAATGCTATGATAGAGACTATGGAGATGAGGGTAAGGTGATAAGCTAATTATCTACTCTTTTTCTTCCCAAATTATGCTGGCAAGACTTTCAGTTAGTGGTGAAAGTTTATATCCTTGCTTTTCACCCTATCTTAGGTGGAAAACACTCAGTATTTCACCATTAAGAATGACATTCACTATGTTTTTAATAGACAACTTTTATCAAATTAACATTTACCAATTTTCTATTCCTAGTTTGTTTAAAATTTTTTTAAATCATAAATGGATGTTGAATTATATCCAATGCTTTTTCTTCATCTATTGAGATAATCATAGCTTTTCCTATATTCTATTAATAGGAAGGATCACCTTAATTGATTTTTATAATGTTGAACCAACTTTGTATTCCTGGGCTAAACTAATGTAGTATTATTTAAAAATATTGCTAATTTCAATTTGTTAATATATTGTTAAGGATATCTGAGTCTGTTTCTGGCAGGACATTTGGCTATTTTTTTTTCCTTAAAATTTCCTAAAATTTCTTCATCAGGTTTTGCTGTTAGAGTTATGTTGGTCTCACAAAAGAAGTGTTTTGGGGAAGTGTTCCCAACATTTTCCTATGTTTTCTGAAAAGTGTTATAAAACTGGTATGATTTCTTTCCCAAATATGTGATAGAATTCACAACTAAAGCCTTCTTGGGCCCGGAGTTTTATTTATGGGAAGGCTTTCAATTATAAATTCAATTTCTCTAAGAGATATAAGGCTATTAACTTTTTCTTTTCTTTTCCTGAGAATTTTATAACTTGCACTTTCAAGAAGTTTTTCATCATTTCATCTTAGTTGCATAATTTATTGGCAATATGTTTATAATATCCTTTATTATGTCTGTAAAATTTAGAGAATCTCTAGTGATAGCCCCCATTTTTTCTGGATAAAAGTGATTTTCTCCCTTTTTCACCCTGATCAAGATTGTTAGTGTTTATCAATTTAATCTTTTCAAAGACCCAGCTTTTGGCTTTGCTGACTGAATCAATCAGGGTTCAGTCAGGAAACAGAAACCACATCAAAAATTTGAACAGGGAAAATTTAATATAAAGAATTATTAGCAAGTAAAAGGTGGTCAACAATGACAAGGAGTAAAAGAGGAGTTAAGGCTACACTTTCCAATATGGTAGATAGTCAGTAGCCACAGAAGTGGCTTCTGAGCACTTGAAATGTAGCTAGTTGGAATAGAGATGTGCTGTAAGAATAAAATATACACTGGATTCCAAAGACTTCACATGAAAAAAGGTTAAAATAGCTTAATATTTTAATAATTTTATATTGAAAGGAAAATATTTTGATATACTGGGTTAAATAAAATATATATATTTTTTAAAAAGTAAAATATATTATTAAAATTAACTTCATCTGTTTCTTTTTACTTTTTTAAATGTGGCTATTAGAAAATTTAGAATTACATTATGT